AATTTATTATAAAAAATAGTCAGGGAAAAAATATTTTCATACAATTAAACAAGCAGCTTAATCAGAAAGCATAAAACCATAAAGGGGTTAGCATGTGCATTATAGCATACACTGTAAATAAAGTGCATATTTATATGCATGTATGTATCATACATATATATATTCCACCACGTCTGGCTCGTATATTATGAATATAATGGAAGAACCCCTCACTGTTTAACAAGAGTAAAACGCAAAGCTGATGAAAATTACATTTAAATCAATAGCTCTGCACTATGTGTGTTCGACATTTTAAGGTGACCATAACTTTTAATTAAATTAACAGTATTTTGTTTAACCTACCGACTGAAGTAATATTTAATCTCTTTTTTATACTTTAATAATAAATTTAAGTGTTTGTAAAAGTTTTGACTATTTTGTATAATCATTTAAATATCAAAATAATGTTACTTAAATATGTTATCAATTATTATGTTGGAAATCTGCTTTAAATCTCTCTTTTTGTTTTTAAATATGAATTTAAGTTTATAAATATGAATTTGGTTTTTTGATTTTATTTTGTTGTGACTAACTAAAGTATAGTTATTATTTATACAAAATCGTTTGTAGTGAAATTAACATTTTAGAGTATATAACCATAAAATCTGTCGTCAGAATTTTAGGAACATATAATTTTACATAAGTGAGCCACTTCTTCTTAGCTTAATTACAGTTCTTGTTATACTCGTTTTAATTTAAATTCAAATTTTACTAAACTTGTTTGAATCAAGTTTCCACCCTTAACATAATTAGTCTTTTAATACGAAAGTCCATTATTTGATTATTATCTGTGTTGTCGTCAATGGATATGGCGCTCAGTACTCATTATTTTAAAATATTTTAATTTTTTTACAATTAAAATGACATTTTAGACTAGGTTATTCTATATTTTGGCAACAAAAAATGTATTTAATACCATGTATTGCATATTGTATGGTTAATTTATTTATTTATTTGGTCAATATAAAATAAACTATGTACTAACCATTTAATAGCATTTAATAGTTTAAAAATATCTGATTTAGCTGGTTAAATTTACCTTATATAGTCTTATATTTTGGAACTAAACCAATTTTAAACATTACAATACAATATTAATAAATCATATATTTATTAATTTATAGTTATTATATTATGCATTCATTCTAAGAAATTACATGTAAAAAAAAAATAGAATTTAATGCAAATGAACTCTTAACACATATTATAATAGTGCTCTTTTATAAAAATAATTTGATAAATGATATAACGTGCATTAAAAAATATGTGTACCTATACATATTAGCTACTAAAAAGTACATTAAAATTATTATGAAAAAAAATATGATAATGTAATATTTATAATGTATCTATATTTAACTAATTATAATACACTTAATCTTTTAAAAACCATTTTTGATCTATATTTTCTTTTGTAAATTCCTTGTATTTAATTGTTATTCATGTATGTGTACTTTGGATATTAATATTTGTGTAAAAGAAATTACTATGGTACCTATTTCGTTGAGATTATTCTATACATCTGAGATTTTTTAGCAGTACAATACAGTGTGGTACTTCATTCTATCAAAAAATTAATTTGTTTGCATAGGTATATTGTGCATAGTGCATACATTATTATATCATCGATTTATCGTATCAAACAGTTATTGCTTGAGCTGTGATTTATAATTTTTAATATGTTAAAGACATCTCTCCTTGTGATTTATGTTATATCTTAAATTATTTATTAATTTATTGTTGAAAGATATTTGAAAAAAAAACTTCTGTAGCAAAAAGTATTATAAAAAGAAGTTTTATATTATAGCGATTGATACCAAAAAATGTCTTATAAAAAACATATTCTATCTTTTTTTTAATGTAACCAACAAAGATTTCCCTAAGGGGTTGATATTTTATTTGGTCGCACCCTTTTTTTTGGGTAGAAAAAGATCCAAAGTTTTATTTTTATTGCTATAAGTTATGTATATCTAAAATGCTAATAAAGGTTAAACCTAATGCAGGTGGCTTGTATAAAGGATTTTTTGTTTTTAAATCATTAATATAACCAACATTATTTTCTTTGATCGAGGGATACTACATTTTTATCAAACTAAACTACAATAATTATTTTTGATGGTTTAAATTTCTAAATCTTGATAACAATGTTCATTCGTACACTTAAATGGTTTTTATATTTTTTTTTTATATAATTAAAAATATATAACTAGGACACTAGTTATAACGATTAACTTTTATTGACGAATTATAACGTATATTTTAAACAGTTTTAATCATATATCCAATTTAAAGTATATAATTAACTTAAAATCAAATTGTACAAAATCAAGTTAATTAATTTATCATCTCATTTATTGTCACGAAAACAAAAATAAACTTAGTACTAAAAGTTCAGTTCATCTAATACTTAATTTATTTTAATTAAAAACCTTAATTAATAATTCAATAATTGTATAAATCGAACTAGACGTTGTTGGCATTTATACAACGTTTAATATTATCAAGATATTTTTAAGGCAAACAAATTATTGAGTATAGACATTTTAATAATATATTACACAGAACCTTTAATTTTATAAACAATATTAATAGTTAAATTTGAGATGTGTATGAAATATCAAATGACTGGGTTGTGAAAAAAAAATATAAAACCACTAGGTAATATAACAGGTAATAGTTTACATCATATAATATAGTTAGTTTGTTAATTAAACGATACGCTTAAAAAAATGATTACTTAAAATAAATAATTATAACTATTTACTTAAGTCTAAAATGAATAGATACTTATTATATTTTTTTATTACACTAACTTACTACTCGATTTATGGATTTCGAATTTGTATTTTGTGTAAATATAATATGATATACTGAAAGCTATTGTTTCTGAATTTCTTAAAACAGAATAAACCGATCTAATCGCTTATGCTGGCATTCGTTACTAAATCTCTCCTGTTATAAATAATATAAACCTCGCATCATATTTCGTGTGGCAGAGTTTCCCTCGGACATTTTCTCTTATTAAAGGCCCTCAACCCTCCACCACCGTTCTGTCGTGCTCTACAAATAAAAACGTTCTCTTGAATAATAGTTCCGGCCTGTCATCTTCAGAGCACTTGCCAGGCTATTATCATACGCAATACACCTCCGAACCCCTCTTTGCACTTAACTAAAAAACAAAACAAACCGTAAGTGTACAAAATCATTGTTTTTACAGAGAAAGGATTTCAAAAGAAATTATTCTCACAAACAAGGATGATTTTTCGTTGTATTTTATATTAAATTTGACGTTACCAACGTTCTGAATAAGTTACTTTATGGATGGTGGTTACTGTTTGGAGCAGTTTATGTAGAAATAAATTATAATTATATAATAAATAGTGAAAAAAAGATCTAGTTATAAACTGTTCGGTTCGGTTAGGTTGTATACACGGGGGATTTTAATTTCCTGAACGTCGTGTAATCTATAAAAGGGTCAACGAACAGATTTCATCAGGTGAAGTAATTTGTCCCCTAGCTCCGGGAATTGCATTTGTATGGGTGTGTGTGTGTGTTTAAAGCCGAATGAGAGGAGAGGTGAGGGATTCATTTACTCGACTTTGGCAACATGACAAAAGCGTACATGGAGTGCAATTTAGACGTTTGGATGACAAACGCCCATCAAAGCCAGTTGCCGGATGTGCCCTCTGCGTTAATTCCTACTAATAATATCATTCCGACGTCATTCGCATTGGTTGCGCTGTTAATGATTTTTTTATTTATGTCCCTTAAAACACTATACGAGCTGTCACGGTATGTGCGATATAGGTATAATAGGTATATACTTTAGTATTCCCCCCTCATATGTGTGATGATTTGTGAATGAAAAGTGTATTCCGCTGTCAAGTGTCAACTAGGTATGAAATTGTATTTTCGTTTTGTGTTTATTATTATAAGCTGTTCCAAAATCACGTACTTGGGATAGTATTTTCTTCTATTATTAATATTATAGTCATATTAAGACGCGTGGTTTTGAATTGTTTATTTGTATTTCTACTTTCGTATACAATACAATATATTATGTTTATATTACATTGTAAAAAATACGTCGATACAAATGGGGTGTGTTAAAATGTGTTATGAATATAAACTATATTATGTAAGTACCAATATTAGGTTACTTTTATTTCGTTTTTGTTTTCCCAGCGTGACGTAGTGGTTGTACAAAATTGTTGAAAATATCAATAATACCATTTTTCTAGTTTGGGTTTTTGGTTTGGTTTTTTTTTTTAGCAAAGGGAAATTCTTCGACCTGTTTGCTTTAATATATTATCATATTATACTATGTAGGGTGTCCTAATTTATAGTCATTCGTCCGGTCCGGATGGCATTTGACATCCGTATTCCCTGATAACGCGTGTTCAAACGACATAATTTATAACTTTCAGTATATAGCTAATATTATAAACCTATCGATTACTACGACACTATTTTATTAGTTAATTAACGAAAATTAAAATTCCGTGATCATAATTTTAACAATTTCACTGTGAACTTTTGACTTTTAAAGCTTCAAATTTTTGAACTTGCATGAAAATGTTTTTATTTTGTTTATGTATATAATATTCATGGTTTACAATAATATATCTAGTTTTTAGATATTACGCCTAAGGAAGATTGGTTGTTGTGTGATCTAGGTTGAAAGCTTCCTGTCTTCCTTCTCGTATAGTCGTATGTAAGACATTCGGTTATATAACGTGTTTTACTATAAGGGGAGTTACTGTAACTAGTATATTTTATTAAATAGAAAATAATCGTATAGTCATTTCTCGCATTACAATATATTATATTAGAGTGATTATACAACTGAAGTAGGTATATTATAGGTTGTAAAATGTTAAGTAAATACTAAATTAATGTAATTTCATTACAAAATAAAAAATCAGGAACGATTATTATTAATTTAATATTTATATTTTTAGACTGGAGTTCTGGTCTTGGTGATCAAGAACGTGTTAAACGGCAGTTATCCGTGTCGTCTGATTCAAAGCTGTTGGACGAAGCTATATGTGAGGAGACACGTGTCATACTAAGACCTAAGAAACCTCCTAGGCCTAAATCTGAAGTGTTCCTAAACCAACCCAACCACAGACGAACCAAACGGTATTCGGCATTTGGGGTTAGTATTTGCTTGACTTTGACTTAATAGGTATATATATTTATGCGTGTTGAAAGTAAAGTACTTTAATCCATCCTCCACCCTTGATAAAAAATAAAATGAAATCCAGTTTTGTTTTAAACACTAATGACATTTATAACTCCATTCATTATAATATAGCTTTAAGCGGCCAAGAAATGTTAAACCTTTTTATACCTCGTTATTTTCCCCTATTGAATCTTGATTTCTTTTTTCTCTTTAAAATATGACACGTAACTTTGACTTTCACTATACCCGAGAAATATTATTAAAATCGCTTTTAGACGTAACCTCCCCCCAGAAAATGTGTAGTATATTGTTTTTCATGCAAAGTATCTTGAATTTTTTAACTTTTGTTTTTTTTTTTTATACAGGGAGATTCTCCATTTGGAAAATCAGAGGCGTACATAAAATTAGACCCGCTTGGTGAAGGTTCCTATGCTACCGTGTTTAAGGGGTACAGTAAGTAAGTATAACAAATGAACTAAAATGGTATCTTTATAATAAATATATTTATATATTTATTTTTATTCAGTAAAAACTAAAAACTTTATTGTACTTTTGAGAAGAATTAAAAATGGTTACGTGCATCAAATATCGTTATTTAGAATTAATTATGTGTAGGTATAATTAATGTTATAATTTTTATAATAAAATGATTAAATAATATTCACACATTTTGAAATATTTACTTTTGTAAATAGATATTATAATTATTAATTAGTTCAATAATATTGGTACCTATAATATTTATGATAATAACATAATTTAAGTTATTGTTTTTAAGATATTAATATTTACAACTTCTTTAAACCGTAAAACGTGTTGTTTTTTTATAGTTTATAATTTAAATGAAATACATTTGTTTACCTATCAGATAGTGAAAATTACTCATCAAACATTTATTGATTTATTATATTAAGGCTGTTGAAAGCGAACTATTTTTAAGGGGTCGTATTTAGGCCATATTTTATATACATCGTGAGTTATGTTTGACTGGGTGTGTATAGTGACCATGATTTAAGATAGTATCTAAGATACTATCTTAAATCGTGGTAGTGACTGATCATTAGTATGCTCGAGTTCTCCAAACGCATTATGTAATTAGATAAGCTACGGCTATGATTTATGAAAATCAGTAACGGACAAACGCGCAGTCACACGTCACTACATTTTGCAATCAAAAAAGTTTCATCATAAAACTCCCCAAAAAATTCACCCAGTACCAAAAGCCCGATTTTAATTTTGAAAACATTTGAATTCCTCATTCTATTTTTTAGGTTATGTAGGAAGTGGAATTGTCAATTGTCAATTGTCAATTGTATTGTTTAATTAGTATATAGTACCAAATTAACTATATGTACATATATATTTTTTTCAAAATTTACCTTTACTTTAATGTTACTGAAAAGAAAAATTGAAAATCTATTTCCTACATAACCTAGAAAAGAGAATAAGAAATTCAAATATGTTTTCAAAATTAAAATCGGATTTTTGGTATTTTTCTTCCGCTTATTGGTTTAAATCGAGGCTGGTATATTGGGTCCCAAATAACCTCATCTCGGTAAAAAAAGTTATAGATAAGAAGTTGAGTCCTGAAAAAAAAGGTACTAGATAAATAAATTGAGTCCCGAAAATAAAATGTTATGTTCATTCCATTTTTATAATATCAATCATCTTTATTAGAAGTCAAATTTTATAATTATATTATATTATTTTATATTACATAATATTATGTTCTAAATAAATATATGGTTTAAAATATTATGTTCTCGGTATAAATTGTATAATTAGTATAAATTAAAATGTATTATATGTTTATTATAATATTATGTTCTTCGTAAAAACTTGAATGATCTGGCCGAACAGGTAGGTAAGTAGGTTTATAGCTGGGGCCGAACTTACCTTACTACTTTTTTTTATCTGGGACTCAACTTACCACTTTCAAAATGTACCCAAATTATTGCGGAGCCAATTTACCTAGTCCCGTCTAAATGCACGAAAAAACGACCAGCGTTTCAATAGCTTTAACATTATAAAATAACTATTAAAGGCACGGTATTTAGCAGAACTATTTAGTCAGGATACTTGAAATTTTAAATAAAATGAAAAGTTACAGTGACTGTGAACCATAAATGTATTTATAATAATGTGTAATGAGTTATAATTATAATGGCAGGTAGTTCGTAAACCAAACGGACTTTTCGTGATTGAATAGGTATGTGTATTATGTACGAATATTAAAGGTTCATGAGTAATATATGAAGACGAATTCACGGAACATTCTTATGGTTCTTAATATAGTCTTCACGTCTTACCAATTTTGTAAATATTGGTTACCTAGAAATTAAATTATAAAAATAAGTCTACGGAGTTATTTGGTAGCACATTTTTTTCCCTTTAATGAAACATTGTGTTCCTGGTTTTTGTGCTTTGATGAAAATTTAAGAAATAGAAAAACGTTCGTGTTCCAATCTTATGGTATTTGTTATTACATACCTACTTATTAGGATACAATCAAATATATAATATGTACCTATAATACCATTAGGTATGTACCTATATTTATATATACTAAACACGTGAATTCTAATAGTTTTCTAATTCTAATGGGTTTTATGAATTCCGTTTTATATAATATTATGTAATTCATGTAGCTGTTACAAATCCGATCATATATCTAGGTATCCCGGTGTTTGTTCATTACTTACTTGTGTTGTTATTCTATATTGTTCCACCGTCTTGACAACAATAATTCATAACTGGTCCTTTACATTGTTTTTCTCTAGTTTGACCAATCAAGTCGTTGCGTTAAAAGAGATAAGACTACAGGAAGAGGAAGGTGCACCTTTCACGGCGATCCGTGAAGCTTCGTTGTTGAAAGAACTGAAGCACAACAACGTGGTCACTCTACATGACATTGTGCATACACGAGAAACACTTACATTCGTTTTTGAATACGTGGTAAGTCTTCAGCATAATATTATATTTTTACAATACACTTTTTGATTTTAGGCAACCTAAACCTGTATTTTTATAGTGACAATCTATTATTTATTACTATTATTATTTTATATTAGATAATATTTCAAAAAACGCGTTTATTTTAACACTTTGACTTATCCTTATTATATTTAGATTATTTTGATAATAATAATATTTTAATACTAATATAATATAGATATTATAGTATCTTTAAACTCAAGTACAGTAATAATGTTAATGTATTCAGAACATATTGATGATAAAATTGTTTTTCTACCCTAAATAGTATTTACACATAAAAAAAAAAATATTAGGTTGTTTGTTTATATTTCAAACTAAGTATCCTACTGTTTATATTTATGACTTATGTGAATAAAAATAACTTATACATCTATGGTAGCAGAAGTTAACATTTTACATTCTATGTATGTGAATATTTCGAAAATAATAGCATTCTATTTATAATATGCTTAATTACTATTAAATGGTGTCTATAATAGGCTCGGGAGCTAAAAAAAATAAATTAAATTCCTTCCATAATAATGTTCATTTAATTTGATTACATTCAGTTGATAGCCGTAATGCATCCATTATACTATAAATGCTTATGAGTTATGAGTCATAAACCTTGCCTTCAATATAAAACAATGAATTATTATGATTTGTATTTAATATTTAATTTGTCTACAACATGTATTATTTTTAATGACACCATACAATTATAGAGTTATTCAAATACATTATTATTCGTATGTTTTATTTATATATCTTGAAAATATATTTCATATTCAATTATTTAAATTCAGAATTTATCATATTTTAATACCATAGTCAAGATTAAGTTGTATTTTAAATCCAGGCATTTTGTGATCATAATTAAAACAATATTTTTATGACTAGGTTTTAATAAAATAAAAAAATATTACGCCCTCATTTTAAAATGTAAAATTTAAACACTACAAATAATATTAAGAAATTTAATAATAAATCTTAATTATTTCTTAAGAATATCCGAGTATAATATGATTAATGGACAAAACAGAAACAGTGAAAAATGAAATATTATAATGAAACTCATTAAATTTGTGTTTATTATTTTAGCATACCGATTTGTCACAATACATGGAAAGACATTCAGGAGGTCTTGACTATTCAAATGTACGATTATTCATGTTTCAATTATTCAGAGGCTTAGCATATATACATCAACGCCGTGTGCTCCACAGAGATGTCAAGCCTCAGAATTTGCTCATCAGCGAGATAGGAGAACTTAAATTAGCTGATTTTGGTATGAGTAGTGATAATTAATTACGCAATAATAATTATACTATACACTTCAGGTTATGAAAAAATGTGTATTATTAATGTTGTTGTTTAGGATTGGCTCGTGCTAAATCAGTTCCAAGTCATACATACTCACATGAAGTAGTGACACTGTGGTATAGACCACCTGATGTCTTGCTTGGGTCTACTGACTATTCAACGTCCTTAGATATGTGGGGTGTTGGATGCATATTCATTGAGATGATTACTGGTGTGCCCACATTCCCTGGAGTACGAGATACATATGATCAATTGGATAAAATATTTAAGGTTAGTATACAATTATTGATGTATGCTTATTAACTTTTGACGGTTTTAACTATGTTTCATAGATTTTGGGTACGCCCACAGAAGAACATTGGGAAGGTTGCACACATCTAAAAGGTTACAAAGAAGGAAGAGGAAAAATATTTATGTATCCACATCAAAAGCTTGGTCATGTGTTCCCTAGGTTGTATGACATTGCCGAAGGCGAGAACTTGGCTACGTCATTACTTCAAGTACTAATTCATACTAAATATTAATCTTATATCTGTATTGTACATTTATGTATGGTTCATCAATAGACAATATATTTAATATATATATGTTATATGTAAATATATAACTGTATTATAATTATATTAAATAAGTAGCAAAAGAAATTTTGTTTTTTCATTATTATTTATTACAAATAAATCAATTGAACATGTCATATTACATAATATTATCTTCACAAAAATTATTAAATCAATTTACAATAATGAAAAAATTATTTTAATTTGGTAACTTTTAATGAATAAGTACATACATACAATTAAAAATATTAAACATAATTTTATATAAACATTTTTTTTTCATAATATATATACTAATTGAATTCATCACATCCAAATACATACTCCAATAACTAATTTAATTTTCTTATAAAAAGTACTTATCCTAATATTAAAGATTTGATAAATGTTAATATTTATTTAAATTTTTGTGCATCAAATTTAATGTTCCTTTTGATGATTTTTATAAATAATTTTATAAACATCAAATATTTTTTCATTCTATGTAAATTTGGAGTTTATTGTGTATACACAATTGTTATTATTAAGTTTTTATATAATTAATATTAAAACTAAGTATATTAATTAAAAATATTTAATATGCATTTAATTTAAATTGTTACTGATGATGTTGAAGTACACATATACCATATTTTTTTTATTTTATTTAATATATATTATATATTATATTTAATGCTTATAAAAATATATTATTTTTTCAGCTTAATCCAGATTTGCGTATCAATGCTCCATCTGGTCTTAGGCATAAATATTTTCAATCTCTTCCCAAAGCCATATATGATCTTCCAGATGGTAAGTAAAATATTGAAGAAGTTTTAAATATTAATTTTAACTAATGGTATTTTGGTATTTTCAGAGGTGTCTATCTTCAGTGTAAAGGGCGTTCATCTGAGTCATGAATCAAGAACTACGTTCAAGTGTTAAATGTTTTTTTTTTAGTAATTATGAAGTTATTACTAATTATTAGCTCAATAAAATTAAAATAATAATATTATATATAAGTATAGTTGTTTACCAGAAACATTGAGTTGTGCGGCCCAATCGGGGCTCTACGCGTCTCGGCTGTTGAGCCATTTTGCTGTGATGATGATTATTTTATATTTCCTATATTCATACTTATAAATGTTAGTATATCAGTGTTGTAAAGGGCTTCTAGAATGAAAATATTTAAATATTAAAAAAAAAAAAAAAATTAAAAACTAAAAAAAAATACAATCGGTTATATTACAATTATAAACTTATTAAAAATACGAAAAAAAAAACTGAACAAAGATGAAATAATATAATATAAGATATATATTTTTAGGGTGGTAATTATTCTTCTGTGTTTACTACTTATGCAGTTTTCACTACTAAAATATTAGTATTTAAGGCAAATGAAATTGCTCAACAAAGTGGGGGTCAACTGTATAACAATCTAGTTACATATATTATGTATACTTACACATACATATATTTGTATCTATAATATTAAATTTAAACTGAACAAAATAACTTAAATACTCTCCCCACATTCGCTTTGCCGTCCCTTGAACGTCCAGTAAATATGATATTATTGTGTTTGAAAAACATTCCTAAAGTTGCACCAATCACAAAATTTTCCTCTGCGATTATATTTGTTTTTGGAAAGTTTATTTTACATTTGTCGCTTGCCGTCCAATGGGTCCGTCAAAGCAAAATATTCCTCTGAACACACTTTATTTAGCCGATAACTTAAACAAAATTTCCAAGATGACTGATCATTGACATCAGATTTTATGTTATTGTTAAACTATTTAATAATAGGTACCGATCCGTGTACGTTCATTTATAATAATGGTTGTGTTTTTAAGCACATTGTATTAACTTTATGCATTTTACATATATATATATACATATATACCTACTTACATGTATATTATAATAATATGTATCTTTTCTTTTTTTTCTTTTTTTTTTAATATTTATTTTTTATTCAAGTAAAATGTATACAAAGGTTGAGTTAAGAATTACTAGAATTAAATCAAAATGTTGATTTAATCAAATTATATTGATGTACAATTATATTTTATTGTAATTTTTTTTATAGTTTTAAAAATCATAACTATTTTTTATTTTTTAATTTAAAGTTGTGTAACTCAACCTTCTTAGGTACATAGTAATTCTTAGTTCATACAATATATTATATAAATATATTTTTTTTTCAATCTAATTTCATTGTCTCTCTTAATAGGTAGCAAATATATTAGCGGCTAAATATTATATTAACGAATTAATAGATTATAAATGATAACACCTTTATATAATAGATATTTCACTGTGTCCCAAATTTTGCACACGCTAGTGAGATAACCAATTTTTGTCACTAATGAAGTCAATTAACTTATTGTGAATGATGAAGGTCGCGTACTTTAGTTTTTTTTTTTTCTATAAAACATATTTTGTACGCAGTATTCTTTTGTGAAACATTTAAGGCAATATATTATGTGGATTTCTACTGTGATTGTAAATCATTGTGTTATATGTTAACAATTGTAACGGTTTAGTAAAATTTGTGTAATTTATTTCCAAAAATAAAAAAAAAAATGTTTATAATGTCCTTCCCGTATCATTCTCCTGCCCATTGAACTACTGTTTTGTCTATATTTTAATGTATTGTCATAATAATAATATTATATTTATTATTACTAATGTAATATTGCGATTCTATGTGACAATTATTATTATTATTATTATTATTATTATTATATTATGATGATTTTTATTATTATTATTTATTTATTTTAGGACTGTTAAAAAAAAAAAAAAACGGGTGTAAATAGAATTATTATCATAACTTTGTCATTTATATAGTTTGTTTATATATTATATTTGTTTAAAGACTTTATATTGTAGAACGACTCATTAAGTGTAAAAAAAAAAAGAATTAAATTATAAATTATAAAAACAACAAATTTCTTAAAACAAATATCAAGTTTTCTTTTATTTACTACTTGCTAAACATTGTATTTTATTAAACGCCTAACACACAAGTAAAACTATTGTGCCACTTTGTATGTACAAATGATAATTCATCACACGTCAAATGGGTTGGAGATCCATGTTGCCACTGACAGCTTGCCGGAATCATGTAAATGGCCAAGATGTCAATATGTATACGAACAGCAGTAAGAACAAATGTTTTTTGCTTAGGTCTGTAACAAATAATAATAACAATAACAATTTAAATCTTGGTGATTAGTTATTACATACCTACGTCAATAGTTTTTTTGTGATGTTAAACACCTTAATCATAGTGGTGGGAGCAAGAGGAGTCAACTGCCCCTAAAATATTTAACTGTGTGGGAAATAGCATCATTTTACCTTATAGATTTATAGTTTACCACAGTTTGCACCCCCCCCCCCCCCGAGGCTTGTCACTTATGTGAACTAAAACTTACTAATCATGTGGAAGGTGCATCATACAAAGTCAATGTGATCCGAGGACACAAACAGTTGAACTCTACCTATAAACTATTGATGAGTACTTATTGTATTCCATTAAATTATATAAATATATATCAAATTAAAAAAAAAAATCTAAATAAAAAAAAAACCGTTAGACATAATAAATATAGTTAAATAATAATATGACGTGTAGTACCTACCCAGTTATCTGTAATATAAATAAATAATACATTTTATTTAAAATTGTAAAAAAAAAAAACACATTCATAACGGGATGACGCGTAAAGAGACATGAATATTGGATACCAAATAATCAACTCCAGAGTCCAGACTATGCGAGGGACTTTATATATCCCATACATACCTACCCTTATATTATATACTAGGACACATCGATAGATGATAGTGTCCGGCCATCACCAGAGGCTTATATCAAAGTTATAAAAAGTGACTTGGCATTAGTTCGTCGATACATTATTACAATGTATAATACAATTGTCTGTATATTACCACTATAACGTATAATGTTCCTAGGTACTACCTAAGTCCTTTTGAGATTACGATAAAACAATAATATTACAATAGTGTGACTCCACAAATAAAAAGCTAATAATAGGTACCTATACTTAATATTATTTACATTGCATCGCATATTACGATTACTTTTCCTATATATTATGGTATTGAGTCCGTTATACCTAGTACCTCAAAAATTGAATTTCAAAATATTTTAAGTATATAGCTATTGCCTATTAGGTAGGTACTCTACAAATTCATAAGAAAAATTATTTGAAATATACCTATTTTAAATTTGCGAATTGCGCCATTCTAACGGTCAATAATATAATAGGTATTAATAAAAAATAATCAGGTAAATGTGTACCTATTATTTTAATACCCATATACACTTTAAATCCTAATGTCAATAAAAGATTTAAAAAATTTAATAGTTTCAATTATTGTATAAATAATATGCTAATTCAATGTAAGTTGTAACATATCTGAAAGTCAAAGATAATAAATTGTAATACTTATAAATCATAATATTGTTAGGTAAGGACTAAGGACCTATGATACCAAGGTAAAAATATATTTGTATATACAAATATTTTCCCTGGTATATTTCTTACCAGTTTTATTTTTAACTAGGTATGATGTATTTAAAATTTAAAATATTCATGTTGGCACAATTATTCGTAATTCTAAAATCATTCTTAGACAATAGATGATTTACTGTTAAAAAAAGCAAATCCTCCTCTGCACCCCTATACATCTTTGCTGCGCCCCCTCAAGGTTGTGATATAGCACTCGATCTTTACAACATTCATCAGACATACCTCAAACTAGGTAGGTACTGAAAGACTATTAGCCACAGTTGTTATGACACAGTCATATTATCCGCACACAAAGTTATTACTACAGCTTCACACAGAATTTGCAATATCACGTAAGCTTCATTTAATCTTTGTGCAAAAGCTGGTAGGTATTGATCAAAATAAATGAAAGCAAGTCAACACAATAGTCACCCTACTCTGCTTTTACAGTATTCAAATCTGGGGCTCGGCTAAACTCTTAGACATTCGTCCCATGCTACTAAGAAAATCTCGGTGGGCCTAAAGTTAGGGCCTGTCGTGTGAATATGGATGAATATAAATTCATGTTTAAAATACGATTAGCCAAATATAATATAAGCTTGTAACAATTTTAGGTGTAATTTTCCAGTGAATACGTAAATGGGTCGCTTAAAAGCGAACATCTCAATGGGCCGATACACACCAATCTGGCCCTTTATTATACTAGATGTGAACACTAGCAGATTAAAAGGAAACTGAAACCGTGACTTATTACTCTGACAAAATAAACACAAAATTATATTCCCTCCTCTACATCTTGATAATATGTTCTAAGCTAGTAGGTAATTAGGTATACGCGGAGTATAAGTACCATCAATGGGTGACTGCTTCCCCTATTAAGATAAAGCTATTCACATTATTAGTACCTAAATTACGCATGTATTTTGATATAATAATAATAATTATAATAACTGATTGAACATGTGTTTCTAGATTATTTTTCTTCTATCAAATAAAACAAAGGGGTGTCACCGGTTTCCGCCAAAAATTACCTTTCCGTTTTCCGCCAATACCTTTTTCCGCCAAACCAGAAAAAACGTCATTCCCTTTTCCGCCAATTATAAATTATTGAATTTTAAAGTTTAGGAACCCTTACGTAAAGATTTAATAATTGCACACTATAGAGTTAAAAAATAATAATATTTTTTCCAGTTATTATTTATTATATATTAGTAATGATATTAGTGTACCGACAAAATAAGTCAAAAAATATAATTTTATCATAACACTTATTAGGTAGGTATAATAGATATAAGTATTAAAGAAATGATATTTATACTTGCATTGTCTTGATGACAATATGTCAATATGCCAGCGCTTGATTAAGTATCATTTTTTTAATACTTATATCTATTATACCTACCT